GAAGAAGAAGAAGAAGAAGAAGAAGAAGAAGAAGAAGAAGAAGAAGAAGAAGACAACCAACTGACGATAGCATAGCGCAGAATAAAGCAACTTTAAAATCCTAACTCGCAGATCTATGTTAACCAGAGGAGTAGGAGACAAGGTGCACGAACCTCCCTGCTTCTTCTAAACTTAGCACAAAGACGTACCGATACAATGGAGTAAAAAGAAATGCACAGACAGATAACATGCAGAGACAGATAATTGATTTCAGTCGTCTTAAAATACAGGTAGGAAGAAACACCTGTCTCGTTCTTTTTACTTCTCCTTCTATTCTCTATGGGTAGAGTCTAACAGTTGTCTTGATATCGTTTAAGGTACCATGAGACTGAGCCACTTTTCCTGGTTGTGAACAAAGGACCTCAGATCGGTTTCGGGAAAATAAGGCTTCCATATCCACCGAATAAAACATTTTCTGTACATCATTTCTATTGTCTGTCTCTCTTTCTCTCCACGTTACTGTTTCTAGATGAACGATCTTTGCAAGGCTCGTTGATCTTCTGGTGTGGCCCTTGCACTCCATGATGACTTATTATTGTTATAATGAATACTGCTAGCCTACACTCCAAAACAAAGCTAGGCTCTAAAATAGTTTCAGTGTATGAAAACAAGTTGGAGCCAGGAAAATGGAATTCTTAGTACAGGAAAATTGCATGTAATTATAATTTGAGCTTGAAAACATGTTACAGCCAGGAAATTGGAATTCTTAGTACAGGACAATTGCTTGTGATTATAATTAGAGTTTTACGTATACAATTAATTGATGTAAACTAAACCAAAGCTGTCCTGGCTAATTGGAGCGACAGTGAGACTATACTACTGCGACCTCGTTAGTAACAGCACTAATAGAAGATGACAATTAAAAATCCTATGTGTGTAACGTTGATTAATATAGAGTTTGCTGGTATTCCACGCAAAAACTCAATGCACTTGCCTAACGTAAACTCAAAATAATGAGGATAAAGATGATAACTATGATATTAAAATTTACTCACTTGAGAAAGAAGGGTTTTCCTCAATTATTATCGGTAATGCATTACCTGTTAGGGGAGTCTTTGTGAATTACAGCTAAATAGTTCAGGGTTCTCTTTATGTATGAACACTGCTCGGAACATGAATACTGAATCACACGGTGAACTAATTATATTTTACTACTTTAGAGAAATGAAAATTTGACCCGCACTTGTGTAATTTGCTTGTTTTGAATGATTTGATGATTTCCTTATATTTTTTTCAATAAAAGAGGCTGCACATAACAATGCGTGCCACGTAATGTCGACTAGTGTTGAAAACCCCTTGAGAATATATATTGTACAATCTATTTAATATTGTTGACAACAGCGTTCTTATTAAAAGTCAGAGCTTGTGGTTTCCAGTGTTACTCAAAGATTACCACAAAAAGTCATGTCGTCTACGGCACCCATTCAAGATTCCTACGCGTGCACTTCCAACTGTACACTGACTTTGACACAACCTCACGTACCGTCAATATTCATAGCTTTCAGCACTTTTTCGCTGATACGGCGCGTCATCAGACAGACCAATCTATGTATAGCCGTGTTTGGAATTCTAACTAATCTCTGCAATCTGGAGATATTTAGACGTGTAGGTATATCAGAGAGCCCTACATCCATTACTTTTTTCGCTTTGACTCTCTCTGATTTATTGACTGCTCTTCTTTTTACAGTGTATGCGGTTCTCAGGTTTTACGATGAACTGGGAATATGGTCAGCGGCGTACATGACTTCAAAGTCCCAAATATTATGGTGCTACAATATGGCTTACAAAATGTCTGCCTTCCTCACCACTTATCTCACTATTTTGAAATGCTGCTGCGTTGCTTTACCATTGAAATTCAAGTTCATCTTTGATCATAAAAAAGTAGTGGCAACTCTGCTTTTGCTCGCAGTTGCTAGCATTGCCTTACACTTACCATTTTTCATGATGGTGGGATTTCGAGAGTTTTTTTACCCAAGTATAAACAGGACCATCGTAAGGTCAGCTTCAGTGAACCGTAGAAAGACATATGATGTCATGAACCCTCTGTATTTCGTAGCAGAACCCACAACCTCCCAAGGTATCGTCATCTCAGGCCTGTTCATCCTTGCTGCCAAACTCAAGCAGACTTCAAGATTTAGGTCAGCCTTGGGTATAACAAGAAACAACTCAAACTCGAATTCAAGAGACAATCAACTCTCCGGCAAAGAGCTCAGGGCGCTTCAGTCAGTGGTGGTCGTGGCAGCCATATTTGTTGTAAGCAATCTTCCTAGTGTTATTTTCATATACGCCGGCTACATAGACCAGAACAGACAGAGACTTTGGTTCGTGTCCAGGATTTTTGGTAATGTGAGAGTCAGTCTGATCCTTCTTTGCGCGTCTCTCAACATATTTGTTTACGTCGCCTACAATTCAAGCTACAGACAACATGCAGCTTCTCTTTGTGCTAGATTGTTCTGTAACAGACAACAGCCTTTGGAAAAGAATGAAGGAAAGAGAAAATAAATAGATCTAGTTAAAAGCACGTACATACGAGCATACTTTTTAAATTTTATCTGAGAATGGCATAACCAAAAGCGTCAGGTTGTACCCCCCCCCCCCCCAAAGGGTGACCTTATTTAGGCCACATATGGCCTAAATAAGCTAAAGCCCCCTCCCTTACCTTATTTAGGCCACATATGGCCTAAATAAGCTAAAGCCCCCTCCCTTACCTTATTTAGGCCACACCTTTATACAAAGTCACAGAAAGATTCCTTTTGTGCTTATTGAGGTACAGTGCAGGGTGATTTTTACCTGCAAGGATAATTGGACAAAATGGGCAATATCTTAATTGGTAATCGTCATATTTAGACAAATCCTATATTGTCTTTTTTTTTCTTAATTGCTCATGGTTATTAAAGAGTAAGCCAACTATGTAGTAATTTCGGATTCCTAATACTAATATTA